TCTTTGGGACTTGCCGACTGTGGGGTACTGGGCGGGATGGAACTCCCCACAGTTGACCCTCATGTTACAGTTCTCTTGGCTGTTCTCTCAGGGGCTCTGGTGTTGTAATATCAGATATATAGTCATTGTTTCATCGAAGGTTTGTGCTTTTAAAGATTCCAGGACCTCATATGGGTCATACCCCTAATCTGTCACAATGATTATGATAATGGAGTCTGAGAGACTGGGGAACTCTGCAAGGAAAACTCAAGAGAAGGTACCTCACTTTGAGTGAGCCATGGATGCTGCATGATGCAGTCTACAATGGCCCTCTTGCTGGGGGGGTCCAGGGTGAGTAACTGATCAATTACGTTTAACACATTTGCAGAAAGATGGGGTGAAGTATTTCTCACAGAGGATCTTCTGCTTTATCCCGGGATTGGTAGGTGCTTGAAAAGGGAGGCACCCTGTGGTCGTAAAGTAGAGGAGGACTCCCAGGCTCCACATATCAGCTGCAGGCCCATCATAGTCTTTCCCCTACAGGAGCTCTGGGGCACAGAATGGGAGGCTGAAGAACTAGGGCAGCTTCTGCCCAGGGCTGACCTGAATGCCCAACCCAAAGGCACTGAGTTTGATGCTGCCCTTGCCATCCACAGGGTATTTTCTGGCCTCAGGTCTCCATGCATCACACTTTTTGAATGACAGTGATGCACAGTGCTCCCAATATGCTTGTAAAGTTGTCGGGCCCCTCCCTCTGCAGATGTCCATCCTCCTGGACCTTGTCCAGCAGCCCTCTCCTGCTTCTGTGCCCTATTGTTGACAGTGGTATTGATTATCTGATAAAGCTTGATGACATTGGGATGGCTGAGGGATTTCATGATGTCAATTTCTGATGTGACAATGGAGGAGTTCCTTGGCAGGACTTTCAGCACCACCAGGGTCTGGGTGAGGAGGTGGCAGGTGAGCTTCACTTCACTAAAGCTGCCTTGGCAGATGGTGTTCAATATCTTGTAACTACTTCTGAGGGGTGCCTCATCAGAAGCTGTGACCTTGAGGGCCAACACCACCATTATCATGCCAACTAACAATGCTAGGTTAAAAATTAAAATAAAATCAGTTCTCAGAGGGAAGCATGATTCTAATTCCCACATTAGAAAGGCAGAGTGGGTGGTGCTCTTGCTACTGCCCAGCCTGCTGCACCTGCTGTGTGCCCAGGAAACAAGTTGTCCTAAAATAAACAGATCTCAAGTAGACAACTTAATGATGCTCCTCGAGACCACAGAAAACCGAAACAAACCAAACACCAAAACAGTAGACTGAAGAAAGGACAGAGCAGAAATGAAGGAAATGAGATGTAAAAGGATAGGAAAGCTTGTAGAGATGGAGAGTTAGCTAAGAGCAGAGCTGAGCTGAAAGCCTGAACCCAGCTCACAGAACAAGAATAAAATATAAGAAAGGCTACAGTGTAGCGTCTGTACCACAGGACGATTTGCAAGTTGGCCAAATTGCACAACTGGAGATTGAAACACATGGGGGGGGGGGTTGACATCCTTGAAACAAAAATGCTAATTTTATTGTGTTCTAGGGCAGCTTATATAGGGCTTTCCTTGACTAATGGCCACACCCTAGCTCTCAGGATTTTCAGCTGCAAGCCCAGCAAAAACCCCTCCCCTGCCATCAGGAACTCATGAGGGTCTCGTGCCCAAAGCAGTTATAAGCCTAGGAAAACAAGTTGTTCACTCCGGCAGGCAAGGGGTCACAGAAAATTCATGGTCTGAGGGTCTGCAGTCCCCAACACTACAGTATTACAGCTGATACTGCTGACATCCACAGCATAAGAGAATATTTTTGAAAACCTAAATTCTAACATACTGGGAAAATATGGAAGAAAAGGATAAGTCTCTAGACACACATGGCCCACCAACATCAAACCAAGAAGAGGAAAACACCGTATCAGGTACAAGCAACATGATCAAAACAGTGATTAAATAATCTCCCAAAAAGAAAACCACAGGCCCAGATGGATTCACTGAGGATTTGCAGACCTTTAACCAAAGGACCACGTCAATGTTCAATCATTCCCTAAAGCAGAAATGGAAGGAGCTCACCCTACATAGCTGGGATGATCCTGACATCAGAGCTGGTTAGAGACACAAGCAAGGAGAAACTATAAGCAATTTTCTAGGACAAATGTAGATGTAAAAATCCTGTATAAGAATCATTAATACTCTACATCAAATTCAATGACACATTAAGGTGGCCCATACTTCATGACCAAGATGAGTTCAGCAAGTAACACAAGGGTAAAGGTTATACACACACACACACACACACACACACACACACACACACACACACACAGGAAGAGAGAGAGGAGAGAGGGAGGCAATGCAAACAAGGACAAGAATGACACACTTATCCTTAAAGAATGGTTGTAATTTTCAGGAAATTGAGTGAAACTAGAAATCATGTGTTATGTAAAATCTTGATCTAAAACCTATACAGGCCTGGTCAGGTGGCTCGGACAGTAAATGTGCCTGCCATCAAGCCTGACCTGAGTCCCATCCCTGAAACCCACAGTGGAAGGATAGAACTGACTTGTAAAAGTTGTCCTCCTCAACCTGGTGATGGTGGCACACGCCTTTAATCCCAGCACTTAGGAGGCAGAGACAGGCAGATCTCTTTGAGTTCGAGGCCAGTCTGGTCTACAAGAGCTAGTTCCAGGACAGGCTCCAAAGCTACAGAGAAACCCTGTCTCAAAACAAAACAAAACAAAACAAAACAAAAAAACCCCAACCAAACAAAAGACAAACAGAAAATCTCCACAAGTGTGCGGTTGTTATGCAGACACAAAAATAAATATTAAAAAAACAACAAAAACTCCAATAAGTACCTATATACTGAGCCCTAAACCCCAAGCCAAGAAACAAACTCACTATGTCAGAGCCCCACAGGTGACCAGTGTCAAATCCAACAAATCACCAACTTCCAAGTCCACAATGCAACAGCTGTGCAAACTGCACAACCCAGCTGCAGCCCATGCTTCTTATGGACAGAGACCTTGCATTGCTCACAATGGTTCCATGTGATGTCAGAGCAAGGTGCTACTGATGTAGACATGCCTGGCATTCATTACTCATTGGTGGGTTCAAGAAACCTCAATCTCCATATAGAGTGTGACATATGGCATCTGTCAGAGCAACTAGGCAGGAGTGGTGCACACACCTAAAAGCAGAAAAGAATGATGGGTACTACACAATATTGGAGACTCTCAACAAATAATAATTACTATTTATATGTGATTATGTGTCTGTGTGAGTATGTTCACGTACCTGTGGAGGTCTGAAGAGGGTGTTCGATTCCCTAGAACTGAAATTAGCAAGTGATTGTTTTGTTTTTGTTCTTTTTCTCTGTGTAGCCATAGCTTTCATGGAACTCACTCTGTAACCAAGCTGGCCTCAACTCAGAGATCCTCTGGGGTGCTGGGATTAAAGGTGTGCGCCACCACCACCCGGCTGACAAGTGATTGTAAGCCATCTGACATTGGTGCTAGGAATGGATTCTACAACAAAGCAGGCTAAACAAGCCTTGAGCAAGCCAGTAAGGAGCACTCCTCATGGTCTCTGTATCGGCCTGCCCGAGTTCCCATTTTGGAGTCCTTTGATAAACTGTGATGTTGAAGCCTAAGCCCAATAACCCTTTCCTTCCTAAATTGCTTTGGTCAGGGATTTTCCTCACAGCATAGCAACCCTAAGACAGGTGTTTCATTTGCATGTATGTCTATATACACATTAATGCAGTACTCACAGGTCAGGTGTTGGATCCCTGGGACTGGAACTACAGTGGGTTGTGAGCCACCATGTAGGTGCCGAGACTGAACCTTTGTCATCTGGAAGAGCACCAAATGCTCTTAACCAAGTCATCTCTCCAGTCCCAACTTCTCAAAGTTCTATGTTCTTAAGCTTTACAGTGGTGGCACCTGCCCCAGTGTGGCATGGCAGCATCCTGGTACTCAGGGCGGAATATGGGCTGGGCCACTTCTCACAAAAAGCTGTGGCTGTGGGGGAAGCAATGCCATTGGCTGGGGGCTCTGGTGGCTTGGTGAGTGTCCCTCAGCTTTTGAGATTAAATTAGAAAAATGCCGTCTGTGCCTTTCATCTTATTCTTTCTTGCTCTGAGGTAAGGTCCATATGGCAAGGAATTGAGAGCCAGGGAAGAACTGAAACCTCAATCACTGGAGTCCTGCTAACAGTGGCTCTGGTTTGTGAGGAGCTGGCCAAGGCTGGGGATGACTCCAGTGAGGGAGGACCTAGAAAAGTGGTGCCTGGCCCCACAGCAGCAAACCCCACTAGGAAAGAAATCCTTACTGCTTCAAGGTTACCCTTACATAAGGGTAACAAATGCACTCAAACATCTGAGGGTCCACGACAGTGCAGCCTAAGAACTAAGCCACTACCTCAAGGGATCTGCAGAGAGCCATCCTCAAGAGAACAATCTACCTTGTTTGCAGAACAAGTATTCAAAAGAACAAGGAGCTTGCTCTGTGCTCAACACTGAACATGCTAAAAGATTCAACCTGGCTTGGCTTTATCTGAGACATGGTATCATTATGTAGCCTTGGCTGTCCCAAAACTCCCTATAAGTATCAGGCTGACCTTGTATTCTCAAAGAACCACCTACCACTAACTCCCCTGAAAGTAAGGAATGTGCCACCACCAGACTGGTTTTACTAGTAGCTCTGAAGAGGACATTCAATGGAATTCATTTTTCCTAATTTATTATTTTCTTTACAGAAAAATATTTGTAGCTCAGCATGCCATTCGGTAAGCTAAGGCAGGAAGATAAAGGCCATCCTGGTCAACTTAGTGAGACTTTGTCTCAAAATTACAAAAGACTAGGGCTGGGATGTGCCTTCCTGGCAACTCCCCCACCCCACCCCCCAAAAATCTTCACACATGTTCATTCTCTACCACCACAAGAGAGCCAGCAACTTTCTAACTAGTAAAAAGCCACATACTAAATCAGACAGAAGTTTTTTTTCTTTTTAATTGAGTACTTCATTCAGACATTTCCTCTGCTGGCTTCTGCTCTGGAAGCAGCTAGGTCCCCACATCAATGTCACAACTGACTGGACCAAGTGAACATGGGCCCCAAACCAGGACTTTCAGAACCGCAAAACAATAAAGCAAAACCCAAGCCTCTCCTTTCACTCAGGAAGGACTGGGAGTCACTGGGTCCAATCCCACCCTGCAACTGTAGACACCTTGGAGTTTGGACTGCACAGAAACTTAGGAGCTAGGAACAAGGTAGCAGTCCCATGTACTCTAATTCAAGCATCTGACCACCAGCCTCTTCCAATAGGAATGGACCTATACCCTTGAAGGAGTTTTGGTATCTACTTAATTTCCCAAAGAGGTGTAAAAATCTACCAAAAGGAATACAATGGGTCAGAATAAGTCAGCTTTTTCACGAATAACTTTCCTGAGTAACAACTTTTGATTGCTGAGAAGTCACAGCACAGTATTTCAAAGTGACAAAATCCAGGGCAATCACAGAGTACATCCAGCAGTGGCTTAACGTTCAAGGACAGGTTTACACAGGACATAGGTGTACACACCTCTTCAGTGTATATGGCAAGTAGCCAAGACCTCTGATCATTAAAATAAGTTATTTTGTACATAACAGTGCACAGAGGAAAGGAACTTTCACAGAGGTGACCAAAAGGCATTGTACAGAAGAAAGTCTCATGGTGAGTGGCGGCCAGGGCCTGTGGCCTTCAGGAGCTGGACCCCTGCTCTTTGGCTGCAGAGGCCTTAGAAGCAGCTGTTTCCTCCACCTGCTCAACTGGCTTTGCCTCCTCTTCCTCCTCCTCGTCTTGGGGATAGAGGTCTGGGTATTTCTGCATGCATTCCTGCATGGCCCGAAACTGGTCTATACAGTCTGATCCCTTGATTTCCTCTTTGCTGTAGTGGAAGCAGGAAAAGGCAGACTTGAACTGTTCGCCACAGGGGCCGCTGGCCATTCCCCCAAGGCATGGGCAATTCCAGTTAATATCTCCATTGGGCAGTATTAGTCCTGGAAGAGGAAGATGAACAAGGGGAAGGTGAGGGATGTCCTCTGTGATCTTGAACAAGCAAAGCATGTTTGCTTGGTCTTTATTCTGTGGAAGGCTCCCCGCCCCCTCCCCGTGACCTTGTCTACTGTCTAAGCCACCTCCTCAGAACTCTGAGACTTAAATACCAGGAATCTCCTAAGCCAAAGCAAATACTGATCCTCCAGGCCCTGCTCCCCATGCAGTCCCTGACCATGCCTCTGCTCAGCATAGCCCAGAGAGTGGTGTAAACATATGGTTGTAAAAAGTTCTTAAAATCTGTTGTATAGTAAACAAGTGCTGTTAGCCTAGTGGGGCTCTATTCTTCCTATACAAATCACACATTAGGGTGGGGCATAGCAGAGGTAGAACAGGGCTTGCCACTCACAGTCTGCAAAAAATAAATTTTATTTATTTATTTATCCATTTATTTATTGTGGCTTTTCAAGACAGGGTTTTCTCTGTGTAGCTTTGGAACCTGTACTGGAACTCACTCTGTAGACCAGGCTGGCCTCGAACTCACAGAGGTCTGCCTGCCTCTGCCTCCCAGGTGCTAAAGGCGTGCACCACCACTGTCCTACTAAATCAAACTTCTAAGTTAAGTGATGTATTATGAATGAGCTGGGAAGTCAAGCTATAGGTGGGTTTTTATTAAAACTATATTGGCTTCTTCCTTTTGAATATGGCTTTTTCTATGAACTTTATTCACATCTAAATAGAATTTTCTAGTTTTCCAAAATGGTTCAAGATGACATTTCTACTTTTTGTGATGGTTATAGAAAGAGTTCTATGAGCCTACTGAAGCTGAGAATGCTGACAATCGAGCATTTGCCTGGCACTGAAAAGAAAAGGAAAAGAAGAAAAGAAAAAAAGGCCCATATAGACTGAAATGCCACGTGATCCTTTACTCCAGTGGCATGCCCAGGCGCGGCTGCAGAGCTAGTGTCCAAAGTCCTAGGTAGAATCCCGCCTCTCAACATCAGCTCTGAGAGCCTATCAGCAGATCTGCTCTAGCTGTTTGGGGACAGCAGCAAATGTCGCTGGTGCTCCTCAGCAGGCGGCTCATCAGCAACAATACAGTTACAGAGTTACATGAAGCTGCATGGCAACCTATGTAGTCCTTCTGACACTGTCTGCAGGTATTGGGCTTCAGAGCCAAGTCAGGAAAATAGCAGAGCCCATCAGATCCCCAGAGACCCAACTTCCACTCCTCTACTTGCAACCTCTGAGGGATTCTCAATACTGAACATAACCCACAGAACAGCTTTCAAAGAATTAAGACTGACATTTAAAAACTATAGCCCAGACGCTATCTGTGGTAGCACATACCTGTGACCCCAATCTGAGCTACTATTTGGGATAGGGTCCTAGCTGTATTGAAACCCACTCTGTAGAGCAGACTGGCTGGCCTTGAAATCTCAAGTGCTCTTGTAGAGGACCTAAGTTCCATTTCCAGCACACAGCCATCTGTAACTCCAGTCTCAGGGGATCTAACACCTTTTTCTGGCATTGGCAGGCACTGGATGCATGTGCGAGCAAAACACCCATACACATAAAATTTAAAAAAAACAAAACCCAAAAAACCACAACTCAGGTCTTGCAATATGAATTGGGACATAAAACACACATCTACAAGATGGCAGAGCTTTAGCAATTATAGTGTAGAAGTGCATTCAAACACAAGCAGACACTGTCTGCTCACACCTCCAGAGTTCTGCGACATATGTGAAGCTAATATGGACTCAAGGTAAACAAAGGACCAGAACTGACATGAGTTCGTACTTCCTCATTAAGAAAGACTGACTTCAGCAGCCGTTATCAGAACACTAAAACTACGACATCTGACTTGCAAATATCCCCAACACAGTGCTAGGTACTCACCCTTACTTGGCAATAGGCTAACAGGTGAGGGTCCCACCCACAACAAGCATCAGCTTTAGATCAGGTCTGAAAAGTCCTAACCACAAGCCCGTCCTCCAGGACTGCCTGCTTTAAGCTCAACCTCACCAACAACTCTCACCCGAAGTACCTGTTCCAGTGCTGAAGTGAGTCGTGTTGACGCTATATGGACAGGGAATGCTGCATTCACTTACCCAACAGACCAGAGTACCTACGAGTCTAGCCCAAAGCATGACATCCTGTGTCAAAGGAGCTACTGTTACATTCGGAGATGAACCCAGGAGTGTTACAGTTCTGAGTAGCTGTGTTGAGTCCTCCTGATTTAACAGGGGAGAAGGACCAGCTGCCTGGCTGCTGCTCTCCTGCCTGCACATTAGCTGGTACACATGGCAGGGCTCACCCCAGTCAGCTGACAGAGCAGAGATCCCTGTTAACCACACTTCAGTCACTCTCAGTCTCATCAGTACAAACACGTAGAATGGAGACAGAATGCTTTAGTAAGAAGAAACTGCTGCCTGCTGCATTAGCACAGTCCCAACCCCTGGAAGGGAGACACAGCAACCACAGAGTCAGACATTTGTCCACGGCCAAGGGAGACAAAGTGGGAAAGTGGTGCTTAACACCAAGCCCCCCTGGAGTGTCTGTGGGTCCCTCATCTCTCACCGTGCTCCTCATAGGGATCATTGGGGTCATCAGCCACCAGCTCCGCACTGCTAGGAGTTTCATGGTCTTCTTTGGTCACAAATATGATCCGATCCTTCCCTAGGGTTTAGAGCAGAAAAAGATGGATTCATTGAAGGAAAGTGAAACACAGAACAGCTAATCTGAAGACGGTCCCCTGAACACGTCCTCATCACTGACTGGACAGTCCAGCAGTCATGAGAGCCAGCTGGCATGAATTGCACTCAGGTGGTAGGTAAGGAAGAAGGCCTAGCATCCAGTTCTCTAAACTGAGGGGGAAGAGGAATGCATTCCCATCCTCCCCTTGAGAAGAGCCTATGGACAACTCCCAACCAGGTAGAAACTGGAGCACTATGACCTGGGGTCCCCAGTCCACAGCTGTGAGGCTCCAGAGCCAGCCACCGTGAGAAGGAAGGAGACTGGGTAGGGCAGATTTGGAGCAGCCTCAGAGTGAGGTCTCCTTCCCTCTTCTGCAGCAGCCCCCTCAACTCACCTGCCCAGCCCAGAGCGCAGAGTTCAACCTTCTCAGAATACCCCACCCCCTTGCCCACTTTTACTTAGGCCTGGCTAAGGTCCTGGGGCCTCCAGGGAAAGGCATAAGGAGACAGGTATGTTTGACATTAGAGTTTCTCCCAATGGTGTGGGACAAACATGCCTATTTGACAGAAACCTTATAGTGACCCTGTAAGGAATCCTGATGATCCCAGCTACTCAGAAGGCTGAAGCAGAAGAGTGAATTCAAGATTAGTCTGGGCTACATAAAGACCCTGTTTCAAAAAGTAAAATCAAGTAAATTCTTAAAAAGGAAAAGAACAAAGGGCTAGAATAGCTTTCCTGAACACCCTGTGGCTTATCCTGACAGATAGATTCTGGCCATCAGTTATCTGCCTCCCCATCACAGCAGCCACATGTCAGGCACTTCCATTGTGGTGGGACCATTCCTCAGCACCCACACTTCACAGGGTATTATCTGTTTCCATGGTGGCCCCTTGGAGGCAGACTTTGGACTGGTTCAATTCTGGATTCTGTGTGGCAGCCAGCCCTCCACCCATCACTTCTACAGAGAACAGCAGTGCCCTTTGCTCACAATGGTGACTTACACGGGCTGGAACCTCCAAGGTTCCTTACTCCCAAACCTTTCCAGCACCCACACTACCCTCTCCGACAGACATTATCGACCTCTAACCTGAGCACTGAGCATAACAACAAGGGCAATAGAGACCCACTCAGCCCCAGCCAACTGAGGAGGAGGAGGAGGAAGGAAAGGCCAACGTCCAAAATTCCTAACCCTCCCAGGAAAAGTGCCTGGATAACCCTAAGACAGCCCACCCTGACTCTAGACCCTCACCCAGAGGGTACACTGGGAGATTTTTTTCCAGGTCTGAGTAAACCTGCCCTTCCTGAGTAGCCCTGAGGGAAGTAGCTACTGTGAAAGCTGAGGTCAGGCTGCAGACAGGTGGCTCTCTTCAAGTTGTCAGCACTGTGTCCACTTCTCCCACTATTTTGGAAAGTTCTGGTTCAGGCACGTGAAGGAAGAGTAAGGCAAAGAGTGGAGAACACATTTGGGCTGGAATATCCAAGGAAGAAGCTCGGAGAAGGCACGCGAGGGCAAACATCAGAGAGGCTACCTCAGTTAAAAGGACAGTTTAGGAACAGGTCTCACACACAGGGCTAGCCCCATTACCCACCTGGGCTCTCTGCCAGAGGCAGTCTTGGCCTCGGCACCCAACAACTAACACAGTCAGACTGCTCTTCCCACTGCTGGAGAAAGCAGCAGAGCAAGGCCACTGGGTCATGCTAGAGTGACTAATGAATGACCCTGGAGACTGGCTAGTTTCCAGAACCCCCAAAAGCAATTTGTATAACTGCTGAGTTCTAAGCAAAAGCAGCTGACAGTTGTGACCTCAGCTGAGTGCAATCAAACTCTCTGGTACTTCCACATGGCCTTAGGCTTCAGAACAAACACCCAGTCAGGTTGGGATGAAGCAGTTTAGGACTCCTTTTACATCTCTGAGTTGTTAGCCCTCACATCAAAACAAAGGTAGGTATCCTTTATTCTCTTTTCTTGAAATAGAAAGCAGGTAAAACACATAATATAAACATAAAAATAAAAGTGAAATATAAAATATAAATATAAAAGTGAAAAGCATTGTCCATAAACCTTCAACACTTTCTGCTTGGTATCAGGACTTGGGGATGGGGTGTCAGCTCTCTGACTATGATACATGCATCAAGTGAAGAAGACTGATTGGGGGTAGGGGTTGTCTACAGAAAGGAAAATAAATAACTCAAGTGTTGTGATTCCATCGGGGCTAGGATAAAGAATTTAAAAGGGACTGGGTAGGATGCTTGCTGAGTATGGATGGCACAAAAGGCCAGATTGATCCCTACCCTAAATAAAGGCGGCAATGCAGACCACACCTGCAATCCCTAAGTTAGGTAGTGGCAAGGGGGGGGGGGGGGGCAGAGCTCAAGGCCAAGTGAAGCTGGAAGGCAAAAGGTGGCTCTAGGAACTCTGTTCTCACAGGGTTTGAGGTTTGGGGAAACAGCATCTGAAATGGTCTTCAAAGCCTGGCAACCCCCTGCAGAGCCTTTAGTACACTGACTCAGCAATTAGTAATTATCCATCTGGGAATGCTTTAATGCTAACCTCTTCTCATTCTATAGACACAAAAATTGTCACCCTGCTCACCATTACATACCCAATGGCAGACACTTCACTCTGCAATAAAATCTTTGCTGAATGAAGAGAAGCAGGCAGGCACTGTCAGCGCAAGGCCAGTGTGAGGCGTTTTACTGTGGGACTCCATGAATGTCAACCTAAGGTCTTCAGTCTGGAGACTGACAGGTGTATGGACCTTTGACATACATGTGCCCAGGCCATCATTTGCTTAGAGAGAGGACAGGCATGCACCTGGGGTCCTTCAATTAAATCCTGAGCACCCAATGTATCCCAGGCCTTCTGCCATGTCTCAGGTTGGTGGGAGAAGACAGAAATTTCAGAGTTTATGAGACACAAAGTACCAGGGAAGACCTGGTGACATTTGGGCTGGTTCCTAAGGGACAAGAACTGGCAATGTGAGGAGCTGGAGGGAGAAAGTACCTGACAAAGGCATAGCCAGGAGCTAAGGAGCAAGAGAGCAACCATGAGGCTGCAAGGAAAACATAGTATGGTCACCTTAAGGTTTACACAGTATTTATTTTTATTTTTGTTGTTTTTGAGACAGGATCTCACTCTGTAACCATGGCTGGCCTTGTACTCATAGGTAGGGAAGAGCACGCACCTTTAATCCCAGTATTTAGGAGGAAGAGGAAGATCTCTGAGTTTGTAGAACACAGTGAGACTGTTTCAAAAACAAACAAACAAACAAACAAACAAAAACAAACAAACAAACTAAAGCCGGGCAGTGGTGGTGCACGCCTTTAATCCCACCACTCGGGAGGAAGAGGCAGGCGGGAGGAAGAGGCAGGCGAATCTCTGTGAGCTCCAGGCGTACCTGGTCTACAACAGCTAGTATCAGGACAGCCTCCAAAGCTACAGAGAAACCCTGTCTCAAAAAAACCAAACAAACAAGAAACTAACTAAAAACAAATACCACACGATGGGTCATCTTTTGAACCAGGTAGACAGGTTCAATCCTACAGTAGCAGCAAATGGACCCAACCTCCTTCCTGGAGAAGCAAAGGCCTGTAAACCCTTCAAGAGGTAGCAGTGTTTTAACTGCTTAGACTCCTCTCCCCAAAGACTCAACATCAACCTGCCAACTGGTTGTTTTAGAGGGAACAAAAATCTTGACTCCCCTGCCTAACAGTGCTGGGAGATGGGGGCTTTTGGATAAGGAACACCAAGGGCTAACCAACAGCCAATAATCCTCAGGAGAAATGTAAGGGACACCAAGGGCTAACCAACAGGCATAGTCCTCAGGAGAGATGTAAGGGACACCAAGGGCTAACCAACAGACATAGTCCTCAGGAGAGATGT